TATAATGGGTGTTCACAGAATAGGGAGCTCAGTGTTGTCTGAGATCAGGAAAGCTTCGTGGAGGAAGGGGGACTTGGTTATACTTCTAGTCTCCCTCTACTAAGGCTTCCCCTCCTTATATCTTTATGGTTCTATGTGTGTCCTCTTCCTAATCTAAGTTACATGCTTGGATTGTAGGGTGACATGGGCCACAGGAACTCTTAACCCCATCTCTTGGCTGAGGAAGTTGTGTTGGGGACAATGGCTCTTGAGGCTCCTGACCCTACTTTGAGTGATGCTAGGTGCTATTTTGGTGGCCCGCAGCCTCTGACAACTCCACCTTCTGTAACAGAGGTCGATGACTGGCTGTTTCAGAGTGACCTGCACCCCTGGTAGTCCAGGGTCAGGACCTCCACTTTAGAAATCCAATGTTGCCTATTCAGCCAAAGATATTCAGGCCCTGGAGATCTAATCCAAAAAAGAGCAAACTCACAAGAGACAGATTAATAATTAAAGATGGAGGTAATTTTAGTTTATATCACAGCTATACCTAGCCTGACACCCAGGCTGGTCTGCTCAGGAAACTACATTGTGGTGCAAAGTGTTTGTTTTTTAACTACATTTATAAATCAGAGCCTGGCACTGGGAGGTACCTTTGGGAGCCTGATAAACAGGGCAGTGGTTCTCAAACTGTGATCACCAGGCCAGTAGAAGCAGCATCTCCTGGGAGCTAATTAGAAATGCACATTCTCAGGGCCGGCCTGTGGCTCACTTGGGAGAGTTTGGTGCTGATAACACCAAGGCCATGGGTTCAGATCCCTATATAGGGATGGCCGGTTAGCTCACTTGAGAGAACGTGGTGCTGACAACACCAGTCAAGGGTTGAGATCCCCTTACCGGTCATCTTTAAGAAAAAAAAAAGAAAAAAGAAATGCACATTCTCATCACCCCACCCCTTCCAGCCTCAAGCCTAGAAACGCTGAGGTTTGTGCCCAGCAATCTGTATTTTAACAAGCACCCCAGGTGAACATGATGTACACTAAAGTTTGAGTACCACTGACTTAGAGAAACTTTATTTTTCCTGAAAACTAAGATGAGCTGTCAAAAACTATAGCGCTCTTCCCTGATCAGTGCTTGTTAAATACTAACATTTTCGTCACCAATTCATTGTCCAGACTCTTTCTGTTTGCATTGGACATTAACTGTTATTTTATAAGGTCACAATTTACCAAGTATTTTATAATCCGTAGCATATTGGAATGACTCCTGATGAGATCCTATGGATGCTATTAATACTTTCAGCACACATTTGCAATTTGTCTTCTAGGTTGGGTTACTTCGACAAGAATTTCAAAAATGAATAATGCTAAATATTGATTTGATTTTTTGTTACCTTAAAAGTTAACACTTCCTAACCTTGCCCCAAATTCTAGGAGTGCCCATTACTTAGAGAGGGTATCAGTTTCTTTACATTCACTTTGGTTTGTATCAAATTTGGAGAAATGATCCCCCTCCCTGCCCAAAGAGAAAACAACAAAACAACCCAAACACACAAAGAAACAAAACTGCAGATTAATTTCTAGTGGGAAGAGTTTGCTGGCTTGTTGAACAAAAACTATAAGATGAATGGGAAATGCAGAAAAGACAGAAAACTTAAACTGCACACAAAATTTTTACTTTATATTCAGTTGTTAATTCTGGTTTTCCAGAGTAAGTCTCTCAGGTTACAGAGGAGGAAAACGCGTCCTCCTAGACTGAGCAGTTGTTTACTGTAGATGCCTCAGGGCCTGAACTAGCGATGGATTTATTCTTCCTATGATCCCGGCCTGGAACCCCAGTTGGTGGCCGATGGGCACATGGAGACTGGGGTGGTAGAGGGCTTCCAGGGGTTCGGCAGGGGCGCCTGGGCAGGCATGTGCTCAGGTCTGGGCCCCTGCGGAGAAAGAAGAGATCCAAGGTTCCCAAATAATTTAAGACCCAAGAGAACGGGGGTTGGGGGAGGGGAGGCTTTAAAAAGAAATTAATTTCTCCTAAGGTCGTTACGTTTGTTCTGGGAAACTAAAGCGAGAGATTTAAAACTTTTCTTTATTTTTTTCCCTGCTCCCCCGGGGCACACGATAAGCTAACAGGGTCACTTCGGTTCGTTGAGGCGCTGAGACAGCAAGTCTGCCCGCACCTGCGACCCCGGCAGGGACCGCCCGCCCCGCGGTGTGTGTTCTCCGCGGTTTCCAAGAGGCCTGCGCGTTCCCTTCCCTCGCCCCTGCCCCGGATTCCCGCGTGGGACACTGGGCTTCCCCGAGCCCCAGCGCCCTGGAGAGGGTGTAGGGACCGGCCGGG